AACGCGCGGAAACAGTCTGCAGCTGCGAGTTGGACGGGCGTGGATCACAGTAGCCATGGGAATGCGCCGGATACACCACCCACGCTATCGCGTTCTACAACGAGTGATTCTATCAATACGAGTGGATTGAGGGAATTGAGGCTCGGCAGGACGAATAGTCAGAAGAGTGAGAGAGGCGGGTATTACAATAATTACAACTCGACTGCGCCGCCGGTCCCGTTTTCAAAGAGGAGTAGTAGTCTGGCTACGCAGAGTGTGCTTGCGACGGAGAATAACTCGCCTGCGGATAGTGAGGCGCTGTTACTTGAGTTGGTGAATGCGAAGACGGCGGAGGCGGTTGCGAGACAGGAGTTGGAGGAGATGAGGAGTCGGTTTGAGGGGATGAAGAGGGTTATGAGTGGGGGTGGTGGAGCGAATAGTGGAGGGTACAGTGGGAATGGATCTCCGATGGGAGGAAGTCCTTTCGCGACGCCGACGCAGACGCCGGCTGTAACACCTAGTCCTGTTCCTAAAGAACCCGCCGCGGGTAGTGGTGGGGGATGGGGCTGGGGTGGGTGGAAGAGGACGGTTAGTAGTAATGCTGCGGGTTCGTAGGTCGAATCCTATGGCTGGACGCGATAGTGGATGGAACGTTGAGGGATGGGTGTTGGTGTACAGTGTATATACTCATACAGTCTAGTCCTCGAGATTAGTACGACGCAGCGGATGCCTGCTTTCTACTCTCTACATAGACATAGAGAGTAAGGCTTGTGATCTTCTCCGGCTTCTTCCCCACCACGGGATGGCGGGGAATAGATGTGCCTCAAATACGTGTTTAATTTCAACATTTTTCTTCATGATAGACAAACCGGTGTTCCAAGTCGTTTCATGACCTTCCTATCAAGTTTACTAAACTAAACAAGCAGTACAAAAGCCCAAACCTGAGTAATTAATGGTAAATCCAATGACCAGTCGTCTTGATCACCTGCCACGCATCTCCACCTCCACCTCCACCTTACATCCAACTCCCCCTCAACTTCCCCCTCCCACTATACCCACACCTAAACCTAAAACCCCTCCTCCCCTCCCTCTCCCCCTTTCCCCTCCCCCAAACCCTTCTCCCCCTTCCCCTTCCCCGGCACAGCCAACTCCCCCACCACCTTCTTAACACACGCCTTCCTCTTCCAACACCCGCGATACCAGTCCTCCAACTTCGCAAATCTTACCTCAGCTTCACCACCATCTTTCTCACCACCAGCTACACACCAGCCTTCCCACTCCCCTACCAAGACATGCAGGATAGGCCAGAGGAACGCATCCGCAATGCTGAATCTGCTTCCTGCGATAAAAGGGCCGCCGTTGCGCTCGAAGGTGGCTTCTAGGCGCGCTAGTAGATTCTGCAAGTCATCCTTGGCGACGGTAGTACGCGTCGTAGTAGTAGTCGTCGTAGGCGTCGTAGTACCATCCCCTTCTCCTTCTATTCCCCCACCACCACCATCCCTCTCCCCCCCACTCCCCTGCCTCTTCCGCCAGACCCCCAAAACCTCCTCTGCTAACAGTAAAACCGTAAACGCATTCGCCCCCACCAAATTCTTACTATGACTCCCATCACACGGATACCACCGCTCCAAATACACCAACACACCCATCGCTCCCTGCACCTCCGCATGCTGAACATCCGTATCACGGAACATAATCTGTCTATCTTTCTCAAACGCCCTGTCCAAATCCAGCACCGGTGGTTCAATCACCGTGTAGGGCACTTTGGATTCCGAGAGAAAGATAAGGACTTGTTCGTTCTCCACTTGGTTGTTGGAGAGGAATAACAGGGGTGTATCGGCGTCGGTGGGAGGGGGGTCGTTTAGGTGTAACACGTCGAAGCCGTCGGCATACCAACTTTCCCAGTCAAACTCGCTACGTTGGTTCTCGCGGCTAAAGGCCGTGATGAGGCGTTTAGACTCTGCCGCGTCGTTGACGATGATGTCTGCGGCGTCGCGTTGGGTTTTGGACGTTGCGCCTTGGCCCCATATGATGGTGCTGCGGCAATCGAGGTACGTGGCTATGTGGCGGAAGGTGAGGCTGATGCGGATGCCTCCATATGCGTTTTCCGTTTCGCTGCGTGAGGCGGGCAGGCGCTTGTCGGGCTGGATGCCGTGGAGCCATTTTGCGTTTGAGGCGAGGCCGAGGATGAACATGGAGTTATGGGGGAGGTGGACGCGCTGGGTTGAGCGCTCTGTAGCGGCACCGTCTGTGTCGTCGGCACTTGACTGTGACGGGGTTTTCTTGGTGCGCAGCCGCATTGTGCGTTGGCATCCGAAGCTTATGTTGACGATGGAGGAGCCTTTTGCGATGTCGAGTGTTTTGTCAGAGTGCTCGGAGATGAAGTCGTTGCCGGAGCGGTAGAGTTGGATGAGGACGTGGTTGAGTGGGTGGCCGACGAGGGACTCGGCGCGCTTTCGTATGATGTGGACTTTGGGGGAGAAGCGCAGCAGGGGCAGGGTTTGGTCGGATGGGTGCCGGTATACGGGCATTGAGCCGTCGTCGCCGAAGGCGCCCTGGCAGCATACTAGACGCGGTACTTCGCCTTGTTGGTGGAGCATCTTTTGCCATCGTACTTCGTTGTAGAGATGGGTGAAGATGGTGTCTTTGAGTGGTTGAGATGGTTCGGTTGCGTGGAAGAAGTCGGCGGGGAAGAAATCGTGGATGATGCGTGAGTCGCCTTCTGCGATGTGGTCGCCAGGCCCTAGGACAGGGAACGTTGCGAGTGACTGTAACTTGGGCGTTTTGCCCATCGTCGCGGCTTTCGCAGGTGTCGTTGGAGGCGAATCGGCTTCTGGCGTGCCCGCAGTAGGTTGTTCTGGCTGTGCGGCTGCTACAGTCGGTTGCTTGATTTCCTTGTCGTCTTGCTTCGGGGTGGTCGGGGCAGGCTTTGCAGAACTGATGGACCCTCTCTTTGACTCAGACCCCGACTCAGACTTTGGTGCTCTAGTGAGTGACATGCGCACGCGATCCGAAAGTTCAGTCAACCTATTCTTCTCCTTCTCATCACCAGCTTTCGCGGACAATGCAGGTACCGAGCTAGCATTCTTCAGCATGTGCTGCTTAATGTCCTTCTGCCGCAGATCTGCCACACTTCCGGCTTTCGCGATCTTGGACATTCGTTGAGGCTCAGTCGATGCGGACTGTGGTATGACTGTCGGTGTCGTTGTGATTGGCGGAGATGGATCCTTCGTAACCTGGTTCGCAGACGTGCTCGGCTCGCCATTCGCCTCTTCATCTTCCTTCAATGCTTCTCTATCCTTCGCCTTCTTCTTGCTCTTCCTATTCTTCCTCATTCTAACCTTCGACTTGACAAGTTCTGGCTTGTCCCCTTCTGTTTTATATTCCGCGGCACCTGCAGCCCTCTTTTCTATAATGTCCCTTGCGAGAGATAATTTAGCCATGCGCTCCTCCATAGTCTGCTCGCTCTTCGTACCATCCGCAGGCGTTGACGCCTTTGTCGCAATTATCGTCGTATCCTCCTTCAGTATCTCTTCACTATTGACCAGATACGTGCTGAAAAAGTCTTCCATACGCTTCAGCGCCAGTTCGTGTCGATTTTCCCTGCGGAAGCCCAAGCAATCTTCTATGACATGAATCTTGACACCATGCCGCGCTGCATCAATGACAGTCGCCAGCACAGAAACGTTGGTGATGCATCCGCAGATGAAGAGTTCGGTAATGAGTCTTGCGCGCAGAGTTATGAGCATGTCGGTGCCCTGGAAGGCGGAGTAGTTGGTCGTTTGTATCACAACGTCTGCAGGTAGCTCAATCTGCTTCGCGATGGCATCTGCAAACTCGGCGCCACGCGTGTCGGGCACGCATGCTGGCGTTCTCTTCTCGCTCTTTAACAGGAACAGCTCTTCGTCTTCCTCAGCCTTGGCTTTTGCGACTTCCTTTGGCAGCGTCTTTCGTCGTGCAGACACGCGTTTCAGCAGGGCTAGCGCGCGTTCCTTATGTTTCGAGGATCTGGATGGCGCTGGCAGCGACGCAGCTTCCTTGGCTAACTCTTCCTCAGCTTCATTATTGTTTTCCTCGCCATCGAGCAGCCCTTCTACGACAAGCGTGTCTCCTGCACCCGTGTCGGCACCGGTCGCGATGCGATCTCCCTCATACAGCGTCTGGACCCAAATGACATTGCCGCTGAGCTCCCTGAATTTCGGGATCAAAGTCTGGATGCGCTCCAGAAAGCCCGTCTGGGTGTCAACCGGCAGCCGTCCGTCTGATGTCACAAAGTCGTTCTGAAGTCCAACGAGAACAAGGGCTTGGTGTGTTTGGAATTTGGGCTGGTTTTGGGACACAAGGTCCATCAAAGACGCCATGTTGGAGTTCATCGTGTCAGGAACGCGAACGGCTAGGGTTGAACGCGGAAGCGACAGGTCTTGGCATTAATGCTAGTGAGCGGGAGATTGCCAGAGACAAGGGCTTTCTGGATACGAAAGCGAGCGGAGGCAATGGTTAGGGTGTTGATGTTCTACTTTTCGGACGACAGCTGATATTTGATCACGAGGTGCAAGCAGGATAAAACCAAGAGGGCGTTCAGTAGATTGAGTCAAGTCGCCGGATCTTCGGGCCTACAGGGATAAGCATTGGAGGAACGCGCTCCGGATAGGTTGCGCAGAGCGTCGAGAGCTCCAACAGACAGGATTGGTAGTGGTTTGGAGGTTTCGACGGCCGCTAGATGGCCCCTCGCGCCCATCCCAGCCACCATTAGCGCGGGGCAAGGACGGTACTTCTATGTCTGCGCCCATCTGCGACCGCGGACATGCTCACTCCGCAAGGGCTTTCCTCTCATATCCTCCACCATGTACATCTCGACGACCGCATCTCCGCGCACACGTGTGCCTGCGCTGCTGTTTGCCCCTGGACTGTAGGCCGGACGGTATGGCGCACAAGGCAGGAAGCCTAAACGGACCTCGTTCTTCACCGCCAAACCGCCTGATGCTCTGGATGGTGTTCGGACTGGAAGCAAAGTCTTACTCTCACTTGTTACTGAAAAAGGATGTGATCTTCCGCGAACCATCCGCCCTGGACGTCTTCGCTGCACTGCCGTTACTCGTGGCACTTCTGGTACCTTGCTTCTTCGCGGGTGTTGACTTCTTCGCAGGGCTTTTGGTAGGCGAGACAGACGCGGTGGGTTTGTTGCGCTTGTGCTGTGGCTCAGACTCTGCGGTGCCATCGGTCACATCGTCGTGCTCCCGCTTGATGCCTTTTGGCGACGTCGCTGGGATGGGCAATGGCGCGTTATCTTCGGTACCTTCCATGCGGTTGGTTGTGACACGCGTCTCATCAGCGTCGTGCTCGACTTTGATCTGACCTTTTTTGTCTGTCGAGGCATCCAGATCATGCTGTGCTTTGTCGACAGATTGCTCCTCTGCCTTCGTCTCAGCGGCCTTTCGTTGGTCGCCGAAGAAGTTGGCAATGTTGTTCTTGTTGGCTGCGCTGTTGATTGGCACGAGAAAAGACGGCGAGTTATTGCCAACTTTGCCTACGTCTTTGCTGACCGGGTAGCACTCCAACTCGCCCTCGTATGGTTTCAACAGCGACTGCAGTTCTGTGCTCCACTCTGTGCGCGTCGGGTCCAGCCAGGTACGAATGGCATCTGAGCCGTTGTCGAAGATGACGGGCATACGGTCGTGCAGAAAGCTGAGCTGCTTGTTCGAGTCGGTGGTGATGACGGTGTAGGTGTAAAGCTTCTCGCTCGAGTCCTCGAACTGCACACAGTCCCATAGTCCAGCGAAGCACATGAGCTGGCCGTCCTTGCGCTTGGTAAAGTGTGGCAGCTTCTCCTTGCCCCCGTTCTTCTTCAGCCACTCGTAGAAGCCCTGTGCCACGATGATGCAGCGCTTCTTCTTCTTCATGGTCGTCCACATGCCGCGGTCTTCGATTAGCGAGTCGTCCCGGCAGTTGATCGTCTTCATTTTCGAGCCGTAGTCGGGGTTGCGCTTCGTCCAGAAGGGTACGAGACCTGTCGCATGCTGTCAGTGACGTACGGGGTCATAGACGAATGTGCCTACCCCATTGCATAGACTGCAGTTTGTACTTGGTGTCTTCCGTCGTATCTTCCTCCTGACCGCCAGTCTCGGGACCGTCTGCTCGGTATACAAGGCCATGATAGCCGGGGGCGAAGTTGTAGCTCTGGCGCACGTTGCTATCGTCGTCGGGTGCCTCTTCGACTGGCATGTGCGACTGCTCGAGCTGCTGGCGGACCTCCGAAGGCCGCTGGTGTCTCCGTCAGTTATCGCATTGTATTTCACGTGACTGTAACTACTCACCAAGGCCAGCGCATACCTTCCACACATGATTGAAGAGACTCAGTGCATTGTTGTGAGGTCTACGGCAACGCGATGCGGCGCGTTGGTGATTGGCTACGTCATGACGGACTCAGCCCTACGCGGAACGCACGCGACGGGCACTAAAAGTTCGTTCCGTCATGCACTCGCTCCACCAACTGCCAGATGCCATCGCCCACATCTTTTTGCCTTTGCCCGGCGCACCATGCTGAGCAGGACGGCCCCCCGCGCCGTGCCCCGAACGAGCGCAATCGCACGCTGCGAAGCGCAAACCCCGCTGACGCGATGCCCACAGCTGCCGACTAAGCCATGGCGGCCAGCACAGCAGCACCTGGGGCGGCGCTATGGCTCGACGATGCGGGAGCAGTTCCGGGAGCAATACCACAAGAGCCCCGTGCTGTTCCCCTTTGCGATTGGCTCCATTGCGCTCGTCGCCGGCATCTGCGTCCTGTACATACCGTGGTACTACAAGAACGTCATCATCAAGCCCTACCACAACTTCCCCGAGCCCGTCGCAAAGAAGCTGCGCAGAGCCCTCTTCTACAGCCGCGGCCAATGGCTCGACATCCGCGAAGCCAACAAACACTTCCGCCAGGCGCTGGCCCTCGCCGACGAGATGGGCATGGATCCTTTCAGCGACGAGATCATGGGCGTCAAATACACCATCGCCGCCCTGTTTGAGGATGCGGGATACTACAGTCTGGCTATCGATGTGCTGGAGATTATGCGCAATGATTGCCAGAAATGGGTCGACGAGTTCTCGGATAGACACTGGACAAATGGGAATAGAAGCAGGGTGAAGAAGAACATGGTGCAGATCAATCTGAAGCTGGGCCAGCTCTACGACGTGAGATATGTCAACGAGCCTGAGAACGGAGAGAAGAGACTGGTCGAGGCTGTGGAGAGCGCACTCAAGGAACAACAGAGGCGGGAGAAGGATGGTGTCAAGAACGGCGAGGGGCCATGGCTCACCAACGACGAGATGGGTGGTGTACTCGAAGGTAGGCAGCAAGAACAATCTGATAACCGCGTATGGAATGCTAACACAACTCAGCTCTCGGAACACACTACGAACAGTTCGACTCGCACTACCTCGCCGCCCCCCTCTTCGTCAAAGCCCTCCAACTCTGCCCACCCACCTCATGCCACAGCGTCGTCCTAAGTACATCCCCCACACCCTCCCCTCCTACCCACCTCCACTAACACCCCCAGTGAACAACATATCCACCTGCCTCGCCCAACAAACGCCCCCCACCTCCTCCAACGCAATAACCATGTCCTCCGCCCCCACCTCCTTCCCCGTTACAAACTCCGCGCCGCGCTCCCTCGCCATCGACCAAGCACGGCAATGGGCAGAACGGGCCCTCGCCCAAGCAGCCCAGATCAAGTCTTCTTCTTCTGAAAGGAATGAAGAATGCGACATGGGCTGTGCTGTTGCGACGCATAACCTCGGCGAGTTCTACGAGATGGAAGGCAGGATTGGGGAGGCGAAGAGGAAATATGAGGAAGCGGCGCAGTTGGCGAAGAAGGTGGGGTTTGCGGAGGGTGTGACGAATGCGAGGGCGGGGGTCAAGAGGTGTAAGGATGGGGAGAGGAAGGGTTGAGGGGTGAGGAAGAGGGAGGTATGGATGATTAGGTGCTGGGTAGTGGTAACGCGTTGAAGGAGGGTATGCGCGACCGTGGCATACGCGATTATTCCTGTGGAACCAGAATTGCTGGTTTGGTTATCGGTCCAGGTGTGATCGACATACAATCGCATCGACAGACTACTCAAGGGTGGTTCAGTCTGACCCGTTTCAGTCATGAACGCACGTGAAGTCTCGATCAATACATTTAACCCTATACCAGACAACCATTGTCGTAAAACTGCATATATGCCCATCCAATCAGATCCTCTTGAAAAGCGTAGTATCGTCAACACAGCAGCTTTTTGTAAAACTGAATTCGTTAAAGAACAAGATCACCCAAGTCTACATCAAAGGAAAGTGGGAAAAGCCAGACAATTTCATGCAACACACTCATCAGATATAGCCATACTACCACCAACGCCCCCAGTTTTTCGGCATTGGTTACAACTTATCTCATCACCTACCTACCGCCTCGTGCCGAACATTGTCACACAACATGTGCCCACACTTCGTCACACATCACCTGACCGCCGCACACCTTTCCTACTCACACACTTCTACTCACACAGCTGTCCGTCTACCAGCAGCTGTAGGTGCCGCCATCACAGCACCCCCACCTTTCTTCACCCTCTCCTTCTCCTTCTGATGCACCTCCCTCCTCAACTGCTCAATCTCCGCATGTAAGCGCTCTGGTACACCGATATCTTCCACATGTTTACCGTGAATCTTACGGTTCGCGTTCTTGGCATGACTTGCACTGTTCCTTCCAGCGCGATCATCGGTGGCGTGCTTAGAAGCTGCAAGACCGGAATGGTGCGTCGGAGTCGTGGAAGTTGTGGCGGCGCGTTTGCTATCGCCGCGAGGAGCGGGTTTGCGTCGCTGTTGGGCTGGGCGAGAGGGTTTGGTTGTAGTTGTGGGAGTTGTGGGTTTGGGGGGAGCGGGAGTGTCGTCTTCGGTATCAGAGGCCCATGAGAGTTGGGAGTGGCGCCGGGTGGTCGAGTCCCCATTTTGCTTCTTGATGACGACGGGTTTGTATGGCGTCTTGCTCTCGATCGGTGACAAATTTCCACACCCGATGCTGGGAGTTGATGGTGGCGAGGTAGAAGGGCGACTGGACGGGATCTGCACCGGACTGGATCCTGTACTGGCTTCGGAAGTAAGAGAGGACTCGGGGCTGGGTGGAGGAGCAGGATTATCGTCGAGATCGATGAGGAGGTCTGATACTTGACTAGCACGCCGATCGGGTTCCTGAACTGGCAATGACGGAGAGGTCAGTCGTTCTGATGTAGTCTGCCCAGGAGACTTGTTCCTCTTGAAAATACCACGCGGCTGCTGCACCTCATCCCCCAGCAGATCACATTCTCCACTCCTCCTCGTCCAAAACATCGAAGGGTCAGGAAACACTCTCGCTTCCGGCACCACACCATCCAGATCCGCTTCCTCATTCGCCGCCAGCCTTCGCTGCATCCAAGTCGGCGGCCTGGGCCCGATAGCAGACTTCTCTCTCCACCACTTCGGGATTCCTCTGACGAAGCCCAGTTCACGCAGCTTCTCGATGCCGGGCATTTCGTGCTTGAACTTGCATCCGATGGCTGTCCAGTCGCATTCGCCGGTCTTGATCCAGTGTGTGCAGTACTCTTTCTTGGATGGGTCGGGCTCGATGCCAGAGGGGTGGGGCACGCGGTATCCGAGGCGCTGTGCATCTTTTTGGTAGATGGAGGCGAAGGTGTCGGTGAGTGAGGATGGGCGTACGGGAGTAGTGGTAGGGGTTGGACGAGGTGGCTCTGCCGTATTTACGATCGTTGGGAGGGTATGAGATAGTCGAGGAGAGTGAATGCCGCTCACGGGCATTGTTTGCGGCTCCGCACGTACATGGTGGTCTGGCGCTAGGTATCGTGACTGCGTCGTCGTAGTGGAACGAGGCGAGAAGCTGCTGGATGTGGGCGCTTGGATCAGGAGAGCCGAAGGGATCTCGTTTGTCTCTGAGCAAAGCTTCCAGGCTCCATCTGAGATCTGGCGATGAGTCAACTGGCGTGGGATTCCTTGAAGTTGGAATGGCAGTTGGTCTACTGGTACCAGCGGGACCATTACGCTGCCGCGAAGAAGATAGTAGCGAAGACCTTCCGGGAGGGCGCAAGTGCTATAAGCTTGGGTAGTCATATCAACAAACAAACAACAAGGGAATCTTTGGATACAGATCGCTGTTATGGACACCCTTGGGGTAGTGAGTATACAAAGAGATGGTTGAGATACGACTTTGAAGGAAAGGTGAGATGCTGAGATCCGAACGGTTGTGTTCCATTATATTCGCGGGTGTGCGACTGTGCTCAAGACAGCAATTCGATGTCTCTACCCGACGCAAGCAGTTTGCCGGCATCTGCAACCTTGCTTACCTGTCCGGCAAGCCATTGCTACGAATCAAGATGTCTAGCAGTCGCCGAGAGAATGAATGGATTGCCTGTGAGTTGAAGATTGTCTGCGGATCAATCAGGGAAGACACATAAGCCTACTTAGACAGGATGTGAGTAACGCGTCTTGGAAGTTTGTGATACCATGATCTGTCGCAACCCGTGCTGCAAATAAGCGACAGACTCCGCCAGAGCGTTGACAAGCCGTGAGGGGAGAGTGAACAATCGCAGTGTCGATGATAGGGGTCTGTCCTCTTGGCTTGGACAGCACGCAATCGGCCCTAAGACATGGCGTAACGGCTGGCAGGATGGGGAACTGCGATGTCTGCGCTTGCGATGCCGAACCACTCGCTCTCCGCTCCTCAAAACGTCGAAGTCGTGATGCTATTGTGGCGATCGCGGTGACAATGACGAGTAGATTACAAAATTGAAAGAGCCTTGAAGATGGCGTACCGCACTGCCATGTGGCCAGGCCAGGTTAACCCTTTCGCTCAACGGGTATCCCTGTGCCGATCTACCGCGGCACGGCAATCGCCGTCCTGCCCAGACGCGCCTAACCACAACTCCAAAACATTAGACTGCTTCAACCCGCGTTGGGCCATCACGGCTTTCGGATTCGGATCTGTGGCTTGGCCGTGGCAGCGCATGCCGTGTATCATGTTCTTTACCAGCCTGAAGCCGCCGCTAGGAGTCTCCCTCCGCATCTCAACGGTTGGCCCTCCGGTCGGTACCGATGATGTCTGCACAAAGTCAATCTGCAGATCTACCACGTAGTCTTCCGGCAGTTCACGTCTCGACCGAACATGTCAAAAGTTACTTGCATGAGATTAACCGTGTGGCTTGTCCTGAGGAGATGCCTCCGTGTTGAGGTTGGCAGCTGAGGTATGCAGCCTAAGAGGCCCGCCATCGAAGTTATCGCTCTTTCGCGAACGAATAGACCGTCCGGCACATCGTTCATGACTCGGTTAAGAACGCGATCTTCAATAGTGGGTCGTTGGCTTCCACTGGTCTTGCGCGGCAGGGCTTCTGGCCAGTTTCGGAGACTATCGCGCCTGGCACGACTATCAACGGTGCCTATGCTCCAGGGTCTGCTAATATTGGAGCCTTCCTCGGCATCTTGTTGTTTGTCGATGGAGTTTTTCAGCAACAATTCGGATGAACGACTGTAGGTAGCTATGAGAGATCGCATCGCTTTAACGGAAAATCAACGAAGCTTCAATAGCCGGAAAGCATCTCCGACATGAGCAAAGACGACCGCAGTCCCGAAGTGTTCGCTGTGGCTGCACTGTTCTTTGTGCTCACATGGACGACTGTTCTCCTACGGATCTACGTACGCGCGGTATTGATGAAGACATGGGGAAAAGATGACTCGTACATGGTTGCGGCACTAGTAAGTTGTCACGTTTCGTGTTCAATCGGAGATTATTCTGATGAAGCTTGTAGTTGACGTTCACCGTATACCTACCATGTCAGATCATTGCCGCGATGCATGGAACTGGTCGCCACCGATGGGAGTTGAGCGATAGCGATGCGAAGACAGCACTTTTGGTCAGTCTAACACTCTCATCACATTATCTGACATCTGACTCGATACAGTTCTGGTATCTGTGCGAGCTGTTCTACGTGATAGCGAACTGTCTGCTCAAGTTTGCCATCGGTTACTTCTACCTGCGGGTCGCAATCGAGCGCTGGCACATCTGGGCCATCCGGATACTCATGCTAGGCACTGTACTATGCGGTCTTGTCTACTTCTTTCTAGTCTTGCTTCAATGCATTCCCAGTAAGCATCAATCAAGCGCTCGTTGTCAAATTCGCTAATGGATCCAGTTTCGGACTTTTGGAACGTGCACCCAGCCTCAGACAGATGCATACACAACGGCCCAACTCTGGGGATTACTTATGCCCTCGCCGCCATCAACGCAATGGCTGATTGGGCATTTGGTTTGTTGCCTTTCTTCATTGTATGGGGCTTGGAGATGAGGACTAAGACAAAGCTATTGGTCGCCGGTATCCTCGCATTCGCAGCGATTGGAAGCACCGGTACTGCCATTCGTATGGCATACATTCACACTCTCGTTCAAGGTCCCGATTTCTTGTATGCCACCACTGACGTCGCCTTGTGGAGCACTATCGAACCTGGCATCGGCATTACCGCAGGAAGTATCGCGACACTCCGTCCGCTCGTTCGTCACTGTCTATGGAAGATGGGTCTGGCCGACGCACCTCGCGAAGAACGAGGCCGCAACTACTATCCTTCACAAGAAGGTGGTCGCTTACGAAAAAATCGCCGCGGATATCGCCGTAGCCTGAGCCCTTCCGATCTGGTGCCTACGATACCTGGCAACATGACGACCATACAGATTCATGGACCTCACGACATAGACCTGGAAGAAAACCTGTCCCCGCCGAAAATTGTCGTCACAGATGAAGATGTCCCGGTAACTCCAGAGGGGCAGATTATACACACTGTCACGGTTCAGCAGCAATATGAGGGCCCTGCGAAGCTTCCTGAGGCACCGCCGAGGCTTCAACTGCGCGATAGCTTGAGACATAGTTTCACTCGCGGGAGTATTCTGAGCCCTGTATTCCGAGTGCCCGAGTGAACTCTCGCAATGAGTACCGTATGTCTCACCGCCTTCTCAGTTATCTCAGTTGAGCAAACGGGCCACATTCTCACTTCAGGCTGTCCATGACACCCGACGATACACCGTGTCATAGAAGCTATGTCTCATCGACTCACGTCGCGGCGCTCTGACGGACACGCGTTCCAACGTCACTAGATCAGTTGTCAGAAGAATGAAAGCGTGAGAGTATCTTGGAGCGTGGCGTCACCTGCGCAAAACACATTCACCAACGCTGGCTGTAATTCACGTCACCCACAGTTCTATCTCCACCCGCCGCTCCTGAGCTCTCTGTCTCACCCACGGTACCATCAGAGTCTCAACAGTGTCTGTCAAGCTGTATTCCAGTACTTTGCTAGCAGCAGCGTATCAACACCAGGTAGCCATACTGTAATCAGTATGGCTGAGACTCGCGCGCCATTAATGGACTCCCCCAGCCAGTCTTGCAACCGCATTCCAACAACCAATGGCGAGTTACCCGCCTTACCACCCAACAAAGAAATTCTTGCCTCTGCCATCCGCATGACAAACATCACCCGCTTCATCCACCTCCTCTCCCACTCCAAAGCCCTAATCACCCACCACGGCCCCTACACCACCCTCCCCGCCACATCAGTCTTCACCCGCTCTCTCAAGCCACGCAGACCCACTTACCCCTCCTCCCCATCCCTCACATCCCTCGCCTTCTCCCTAGCCGCAGCCCAAGACAGCACCTACAGCGCGCAGCCTCCCAGCCGCACAAAATCCGACCTCGACTTCTTCACCCTCCTCTGGGACAGTTCCATCGTCGTTCTCGAAGAGATTTTATCAGTAGGCGATTTGCCACAAGAGTCTTTCGGCTGGGGCATCTTCGGTCTGGCAGCGGGGTACATGCATCCTCCCTCCCCTCCCCATGATCTGAGTCAGCAAAACATTTTCATGCGGAACAAAGCGAGGCTGCATGCTGCGCTTTGTATGATGCCGAGCTTGGAGGGGCCACCCGGAAATGGGGTCAGGATGAGCGGGCGGACGACGACGGAGGCGTTGACGAGGGCGAGGAGGGATATACATGTTCTAGGCCATATTCTCCTAGATGAGTTTCGGAAAGGGGGGTGGAAGAGGGTTAGGTGGGGGAATGCGGTTGCGGTTGCGGAGAGGTGGGTTGGGGCGTTTGGGTTGGGGCGTTTGGGTTGGGGGATCGGGAAATAGAGGTGGCGGTGCGGGAAGAGGGAAAGGAGGAAGAGGTAGAAAGGAGGATGGAGAAGAAGGAGAATAGGAAACGGGTTACGTTTGAGTTTCCCTGATGTCTTGGATTGGGAGAAGACTGATGGGCTTGATGTTCAAAGTAGTCAATGAGAATACGAACACTCTCTACAATCTCTATCATACAGAAACCGCGATTATTACTAAAATAGTGCAGTTTAAATCTTCCCTTTCACTGGTAGTCGGTCCCTCAACGTGGTCAAACCTTGGAAGGCACCGAAAATCCTCCAGGCACCGGATCTTCGCCCGTGCAGCGATCTCAAAGCGCATTGACGCGCTTCTTCCGCGCCTCCTACCTCTACATAATGCCCATCACACTTCTAGAATCACTCAACGCTTACTGCACCTCAGTTGAGACCGCTCAACTACAAGCTTGGAGCAAACAAACCGCCCACAGAGTCACTATGACAGAGCACGCGCTCACTCCAGCTACCAGCGACTCTTTTATCCAACAGAAGACCATGCAGGACGCTGGAATGTTGATACCGAGCCCGATAGTTCAAGACGCCATGTTCTTCACACTGCTGAACCGCGACGTCCGCATGAGTATCTACGACTTCCTTTACGAATGGCTCCCGCCTCTACCGTATAAGAAGCGCTGGCAGAAAGAGGATGATTGCCGTGGTATGGTGTTGGCTTGTAAACAGGCTAACCTGGTAAGTTGTTTCCGAATAAGGAACTGATAACTTTTGGTCGCTAACATGACGGAGGAACTATCCGAAGCAGCGGCTCGCCACTTAAAGATGTTCTTCGATGAATTTTGCAAGGACTTCGAGCAAGAGTGTGGGCATCCCATCAGCTTACATGGAAGCATTCCTCTTCACCAGGGATGGAAGGCGCTGCAATCCGTCACGTTCACCCTGGACATCAGCTTTTTCGACGAAGCTCTCGCTGAGATTGCGATGATCCCCGAGGCTGAGAAAGACAACTGGCGTCGTGAGGAAGCATCACAGGATCTCAAGCTGCACGCCGGTACAGGTTGGAGGGACGAAATCTCACAATGGCGCGCACTCCTCTTCCACCCGTTCGACAAGGTCACACTCTTAATCACTGATGCTTCCGACAACAGCGAAAAGGGCACAGTCGCTCAGATCGAAAAGTACCTTAGCGTCCTCAGCATGCTGCGAGACAGCCTGGACACTCTAGGAGAGAACTGCGGGCACGACTGGCTTATGTTCCAAAACTCGCTGGACTGGGACGCCATCTGTGAAGAAGAGCACGAAGCACCCGATCGCCTTTTCAACAAGTATGATGAATATGACTCCACGCCAAAGCGGAAGTGGTACAAGACCGCAGAGCTCTTCCGCTTTGCGCGCGTACAGCACGAGCGACTTAACGATAGGGGAATGAGGAAATATATCGGGAAACAAGCTGCTCGCGACTATATTAGAGCGGGCCAGCGTATTCAGACTAAGCAGGTTTGCTTCGCTTGGAACTTCCTTCCTAGCTGCAAGCCCACGCCGAAGAAACTTGTCGGTAAGATGCACACCTATACTGCCCAACACGCGGGGCAAATGCGTAGGAAAGATCAGCTCCGCGAGCTCAAGTATGAAAATATGTGGCCACACAAGTATGAAGTAGCCGCTGCGGACGGGCTGATCGGCGAGATGGGCATTCGACATCCCAAGCGCTGGGTCCTGGCGAGTGAGGAGTATACTGAGTACTATGGTTTCATGGGACAGCTGAAAGAGGCGGAAGATGTGGAGAGTAAAGGTATTGGGATGGCGCTGTGGAGGGCGAGGCCAAAAGCTGAGAAGGCAGGAGGGGATGGAACGGCCGAGGAAGCTGCTGAGGTAGAGACTGAGCAGGAGATTGACGAAGATGTTCAGGAGGAAGTTAAGGAAGACGTTGTAATCGAGGTCGAGGAGGAGATGTGGGAAGAGTCTGAGTCAGAAACTGAGGATGAGGATGAGGGTTACAGTGACGAAGATGACGAAGATGACGAAGAACCATGAAGAAGATGGCGACGATGACGAGGATGATGAAGAGAATGACGAAGAAGATGAGGAAAAGGTTGAGGATCAGGTCGAGGTCAAGCTTGAGACCAAGGGTAAGAACCAGACTAGGATAACCGATTTCTGGAAAAAGGCGTAGCGTATCAGGGCGTGAGGATACGATGCGTCGATGGAGTATACATTCTCGGACCTTTCCACTCCCGTTGTAACAGCAGAAGTAGCAGGCATCATCGATAATCTCAAGTAAGCTTTTCAGATATGTCAGCATCAACAAAGACCATCAAACACATGACCTTTCCAATAACAAGCCCGGAAAACACCGCTGCAGTGCTATCCCATTGAAATTGCGAGCTGCCCCCAACCCTATCGAAGGAGAAATAGAGACGCCGAGTAATACGCCGAGGATGCCGCTTCTTCATCAAACCAAAAGAAAATGCCCTAAAAACCCCATCCTTGCACATCATGTACAACATCCCTCCACAAGCCGCCTCTGCCGCCAAAATCATCTGACAAAAGAACAAAAAGTAATCAACAGCCAACGCTATTCCCCAACACGTCCCGTCGCTTACGCACCCCACTTCTTGACCGCCTCGCCCAGCTCTTTCGTCAGTCCTCTCCTCACAGCGAGAAGTTCTTCTTTCGCATTCTCAGCCTCTTTCTCGCTTCTTTCGACCCGTCCTCTCAGTTTTTCGACTTCGTTCCTGAGTTCTTTTCGTAGTTCTTTGCTTGCTTCTTCCACAGCTGTTAACCGGTCTACTTCCACCCGCATCTTTTCGCCTGATGTTTCGACAGATTCCAACCGCTCTTTCATAGCCATCATTTCCTTCCTCATATTCTCGGATTCTTTCTTCAGCGCGTCGGATTCGATTTGTAGTCCGCGGTAGGCGTGGGATTCTTTTTCCATACGCTTTTGGAGGTCGGTCTTTTCGGTTTCTAGGCTGGTGTTTGAGGCTTTGAGACCGGCGTTTTCGTCTTTGAGGTGTTGGATTCGATCTGTTAATGCGCGGTTCACACGCTCTGGTGCTGGACTGCGTGGGCTGAGGATAGATAATGGTGATGGGACGGAAGTTGAGTCTTTGAGATTTGAGGGTGGCACGATTTGCTCGCTGACGGTGCGACGGTGTTTCTTGGGACGAATAGCCGATGCAATGCTGGGGTAGTCTTCATCGCGTTCGCGTTTGATCTTGACGCTCAAGTTATCTGTTGCTGCGCGTTTGATGGATGGCGGCTGGACCTGGATGTCTTCCGGTATGGACCTTGATAATGACGCTGCCTCTTGTCAGTACATTATCAACCAAATGACAATCAAAATTGACATACAGACGGTAGATGATCGCTTTGGCCGAACAGCGATCGAATCCTTTTCAATGGGCGTACTGGGTTCCGATTTCCTAGACGGCGGCAGCAATGGTCTTTCCCCCTCGTTCTGCACCCACAAACACGCGTCTCGGAAATTCCTGGTAAACATGGTAGGATCTGATCTCGTCCGACATAACTCCTTCACGTGGCCAGCAGCCAAGAAATAGTAGAGAATGAGGGCCGACACACGATGGATGGCTTTGGAGCCGCCGGTATCGTCTCCAACATCACAAAAAGGCGCATGGAAAGCAACAGTACTGGTACTATTCACAGCTTGCAACTCGTGTGCGCCGTCCTCCAACTCGGTAATGCGATAAAAGCTGACCTCGGCCTCATCTTCGTGGACGTGCGCGGTGACCCGATCTATGGGTTCATCGTCGTCGCCGGCGGGGCCTGGCGCATATCCGCCGATGACAAGCAATTGCTTGTGGGTGGAGCGGCCGAGCCCGCGCCAGATGGCTCTGCTGATGGTGAAGCTCTCGTCGAACTGGATCCAATGCAGTCTTGCGGCGCGTGGCAGGGCGCGAAAGGGCGCGGCAAAATTCGCACGCGCCCATGCTTGGACATTTTCGTTTGTCAGGGGCGATCTTGTCTCATGGAAGTCGGCCATTGTGGCGAGTGATTGGCGTGGTGTCACCCGTTGTTGCGCTGGATTTCAATGGGGCGCGCCTTGATTCGCAGAAGCGGAGGCTGCGCAATTGCGGGTCGTGGGGTGGTGACGAGCTGGTGCTGTTCCTGGTCGCGGTGAAGAATTGTACGACGAGCACAGGTCGCCGCCATTGAAGCCCGTTGGTGGTCGGATCACGGCGACATTGCTCGAGAAAGCTGTGTAGAGGTTGACGCAGGCAGAAGTCAGGCGGGAATCCTTCCGCTGCCCGTTATTTGCGGGGCTGGCAGTGGCTGGACGACTAGAACGGAAGGTGTGCAGCGCAACCCATTTTAACACATGCAAGACGGCCATCATCCCAATCGTCATCGCACAGTTGCATGTTTCGGTGTTTTGCATCCATCGCGCTGCATATCTAGTTCTAGACTTGCGCTAGCCTGCAGCAAAGCAGCGCAGCGCTAAAGTAAACTATACTCTCTACTCTTACTACACAGCCTATATAACGCTCTTACTAATACTATAGACTTTTTACTCTACACTACTAAGCTAACTTTAAGTTATAGCATAGTTATGCGTAATTTATAATACTTAGCTACTTACTCTACGCGTTGCTTATTTTATACTATTATAATATATTAATAATATAATACCTTATAAATATATATTTATAACTCTATTATACTACCTATATCTCTATATTAATATATATACTATTAAAATACTATAGTTATATAATTAAGATAAGCTAAAGGCTCTAAATAAAGTATAATGTAAGGCTCTTAAAATCTAATACTATAATAGTGTCTTTAAGCGCCTACTAGTAGATATTTATCTTCTAGCTAATACTAGTCTCTTACCTTAACTTAATACTAAACTTATATTAATAACATTCTATAGCTATATACGTCTACTATATATTTATTATAATCTTTATAATACAGTAGAGTAACAAAAAGAAAGAGACATTCGAAAAGTTATCTTTTTCAAAGCTATATATCTAAACGACTAGACTAGCTAGAACTAAGATTTTTAGTGTTTTGAAAAGCTAAGAACTTCCTCTTTAAGTTAGCCTCTTTAGAATCTTGCTTAGTAAGCTAAAACTAGCGTAACGTTAGCAGTGTTCGAGTATACTAAAAAGCACTGCTCTTTTTAGCCTATATCTTTTTGTTTACAGTATCAATTTCGCTAAAATTTTAATATGCTATTATATACACCTAGATCTATTACTAGTTTAAATTAGAAGTTATTCTATCTGTTTTTGCAATAGTTAGATTTAAAAGTTGTTTTTTAAGCTTTTTATATTATAAGCTAGCTAGATCTAGTAACTAGTACTTAGTATACTAACTCTTAGCTCTTTTTACTACCTTATAACGCCTAAGTAAGCTTTTAATATAGTTATCTATTAATTCCTGCAGTATAGCTACCTACTCTTCTAGAATAGTAGTAGAAAACAAATCTACTGCTTTCTTACTAGCTCCTACGCCTAAGAAGCTAGTAGGTCTTCTTGCTAGCTTATTCTTTAGTAAACCCTAGACGTTTTCTATAGGATTTAGATCTAGGCTATAGGTAGGATGCTCAAAGAGAGAAATCCTATTCCTTCTAAACTAATTAAAAACGGCTAGGGTTTTGTAAATCTTAGCGTTATCTTGCTAAAATTTCTACCCTAGATAGAAGAAGATATTAGCTTTCTAAATATAAAAAAATTTTTAAAAAATAATAAGAATTAACTAAGTTATAGTCGTTTAAAGTTAAAATTAAAAGAATTCTTTCTTACCTCTTTTAAAAAGAGGTTTAACTATAAGAGTTAAAACCTCTCTTATATATCTTGTATTTATAAAGCTTCTAGGCTCTTGTAGAGTCTTAGTTATGTATAACTTAGATCTTCCACCTATCCAGATAGCTCCCCAAACAAAGATAGTAATGTCGCAGGCTATAACTTAGTTAGTAAGCTAGCTAAAAATAATCTAAAAAACTAGAAAAATACTAGATTTTCCAGAGAATAATTTAGCTTATTCAGAATTTTTTTAAACGTACTAGTATTGGTTGTAGAGACTTGTTTAGGCCTAGTCTTCTAATTTCTTCTCTTTCTAACGTATTCTTGCCTAGCACCGTGCCTACGCTATATAGAAGACTCGTCTAAAAATATAACTTTGTTAAAGTTTATATTTCTAATATTTTTAAGAGTCTTCTTAGCGTATTTTCTTCTAAACAAAGCCTTTTCTTTGTTTAAAAGCTGCTTTTTCTTAGCAGTAGAAATAGAGTATTTCTCTGCTCTTAATAGGCGTTGTAGAGATCTAGTAGAGAAGTCTAGATTATTCTCTTCTAGAATACGTTAATTTGTCTTTTTAGAACTGCGTTCTAGATCTCTATTAACTACTCTAGTAGCTCTTTTAGAGATCTTTAAAGGCTAGCCTAGTTTAGGCTTAGAAAGAGTAGTAGAAGTGTTTTTTTTCTTTTTAATACGTTGTAGAGCGTTTATAATAGACTTAGAAGACTTTTCTAGTATAGTACTAATAGCACTAGTAGATAGTTGTTGCAAAGATAGAGTGTAAACTTGTTTTTCAAATTTCAAAAGTTCTGCCGACATAGAGAGAATATAGAGAAGAGAAAAGTTAGACTTAGAAAGAGAAAAATATATAGAATAAGACTAAAAGAAGCTTACGTAATTTTAGCGCCTTTTTTTAGTGTACTTTTTTTTCTTTTAAATTTTTAAAATTGTTTAGATAAGAAACTATAGTCGAAACTTTACTTACGTAAGCATTATATAAGCTAGTATTACGTAATTTTTTTTTAGAACTTTTTATACGCTAGTTAAAAAGATGTAGCTATATTAAACTAGGCTTTTTTTTTACTCTATGTTTAACGTTACTTTTCTTCTTATACATGCTTACTAAGCAAAGGCCTAGATAAGCTAACTTAAAGAGGAAGTTCTTAGCTTTCTAGAAAACTAAAAATCTTAGTTCTAGCTAGTCTAGTTATTTAGATATATAGCTTTAAAAAAGATTACTTTTAAAATGTCTCTTTCTTTTTGTCA